TTTTGTTTAAATTAGTTTATTTATTTTGTTTAAATCAATTTTTTTCATAAAAATCATAAAATCAAAATCACAAAGATAGAACTTTGTTTTTTTTTCGTAATAATTTAATTTTTGTAAATAAATTAATTTCATCAACTTTAATTTATTTTTCATTAATTAAAATTAATTAGAAAAATTGGGTCAAATTCAAATCTTTTTCCTAAAAATCCCAAAAATATTTTCAATGATCAAATTATGGTTTTTTTTAGGGTCTTGAATCTTTTCTCCGGTTTTTAGTTCTCGCGCTTAATTATTTTTGTCGTACGATTATTTTTCATTATTGATGTAACTGTGCCCGGGTTTGTAATAGCTTAATTAGGGTTTTTATTTCCGCACTTTACTTTCAGTAATAATTTATGTATCTACACCAAAGCCTTGTAATAGCGTATGACCTTTATTTCTCACTTTTATATTTTATATGCTTGTATATGATTGCTAGTAACCTAGGTGTGTATGATTAATCAATCAATCATTAGACCACTAAACTCAAGATAAATATATCTGAAAAAAGCACATTGTTTCACACTTGCACCCTTAGGGTATACCTCACTTAGTTGCCTCGAAAACAATGGTCATGTCCCTCGAACTTAGCGATATCTTAGCAAAGATCCTCAGTTTAAAAGTCATCATAAAGATCATGGTCCCTAAATGTCCCTCGAGTTGCCTACGAGAAATGATCTTGTCCCTCAATGTTGCCTACGAATATATGATGACAGTCCCTTCGAAATGCTAAGGTATCCTTACATGTTGCCTTTAATGACCATAACGACGACCCTACGCCTGTCCCTCAAACATCCAACGACTAGGGCTACCTACTCACTAATAGTAGGATAACACTGTCTAAAGGATAGGAGGAAAAGAAAAAACATTTTCTGAGTAGGTAGATAACTGTTAGGTACTTGCTCAAACAATTGTTTTTACACACCACACTTTCAAACACTTTTCAAACAAAGTTTTCAAAATGCTTTATCACACTCTTGAGGACTAATACAAGGGTTATCATAAAGCAAATCTCCGCACTAAGGCATTTTCAAACAAAAACTTTTTCACACAAAAGCAATTTTCAAAAATGAGCAAGTACCTAAGAGCCCGTGGAAAACCACGGATGGGAAGGGTGCTAACACCTTCCCTTTCCATAATCTACCCCCCTTACTCATAAACTCTTGAAAAGGGTATTTTTCTGTTCTTTTCACCCTTTCCTTTGTTGGATAAAAGAAAAGTCGATGGCGACTCTTACTTACCGCGACATTTGCGAACAAAAAATTCAAACCAGTATTAACAGTCGGTTTTGCCACTGTATCACATAAGGGATGGAAGAGTTTAGCACAAGACTTACAAATACGATTCCCTGGAAATAACAGAACATGCATGTTAAGAATATGGTTAACCATGTTATGTATGCAAATGCATGAGATCAAAGTTCCATCATTTATTAATATGATTGTTGCACTGTTCTGAACCATATGAATATTATCAGATCAAAGGTTCGGCATAGCTTCCGCACATATAAGAACCAAGTACCCAGTAGATCATCAATTTCATAGGATCAAGGCTTCTGGAACATTTGATATTGTTGAGCATTTATTAAACATGTTAGGATTACCAAGATCGAAGACCCAAATGAACCTCCAAATAAACAAGTCAAGAACCTAGAAAATAAATTTGATAACCCCATAGTCACCAATAGAACATATGATCACCATTTGAACATAGTCACCAACATTACCTATAATAATAAATCATCCTTCCTTGCTCATGGGTAAAAACTAAGTCAGGATAAGGCAAAGGTAACTCTGAATCATGGGTACGCCTAAAGCCACTATCGTCGAAACACCTATGTGAAACGATATCAACACATTTGTAACTTCCTCTGAGCATGGACGAAATGAATGCCCTAGAAAACCAAATTCGACTAGCCATTCATGTTCCACTCTATTCCTATGGTTCATATGGTTTCCACTAGGCCTAGAAATTGGGCCTTTTACCTCATAGTAACACCCACCCAACAAGAAGCAGATCCAGTACAACAGTAGTATATGGAAAATAGTAAAATGCAATGCATACATATGCTCAGATAATCATGTATGAATGAATAAACATAAAGCTTAAAAGATAAACACACAAGGAAAATAAAGCAAGAGCTAGGAGCGACTCTGGGATGGACCAGCATTTGGTCAACCTGACACCAATGAAGTTTCCAGCTGAAATAACTGGCTTAAAATCATCAAACAATGAATTCTCCATCGAACGTCTTTTATCCCATAAGAAGGGAAAGGAAAACATCGAGAAAACCTGAGAAGGGAGAAGTCGCGGTCTTGCAACCGAGAGATCGGGTAAGGGAGTCTTTTACGCGAGGGGAAGGTATTATCGCCCCACGCGCCTGTAGTACTCTATGATATCCACTCTTATTATCTAATCTTATGGGTGTGTCTAATCTATGCTTACTGCTTACTGCTGAGGAAGAATGCATGCAAAAGAAAAGAGAAAATAATGTAGGGAAAATAAAGTTGTGCTTGCTTTGGCCCTACCCCAATGCCTATATATCCTTTTTGAGGAATCAGAGTTACCGTAGTTCGGCTCACATGTTTTGTTGGTTTTGTGTTTTTTATGGACAACGTTAATTCCTCCTTCTGTAGCAGCTCAACCTTTGGAGACTCACGCGTTGGCAAAGAAGTAAATTAATCACACCCTTACCTGAAAATGGTTTTGAGTTACGCCCTCAAGGTAAGATGCCACGTTTGATTGGTTTGTATTTTGTCACCTTGGAAAAGGGTTTTTGTTATTATCATGTTTTATGATTTGCCAAGAAAAAGAAAGTTTTAGTTTTAAATGCAAATGCAAAAAGGGGAAAATAACTAAGGGAGACTAGCCTAGCATTACCCCTAATGTTATCATGTAATGAATGATCCTAAGGTTTGGATGAAAGGGAAATATCTACCTAATGTTAGCACGCATGGTTTGCAACCTAAGGTCTAACTTGCATCCGAAAGGAACAAGCATATCCTAAGGGAACATGGTATGTACAAAGATAAAGCAAGCAAGCTCGAAGGAGCACACACATGAAATGGTAAAGAAAAGAAGCAAAACTCTTTAGCCAAGAGGAGCATATCACCCGAACCAAACAAGCGGGAGTGAGATGAAAAGAAAAGTGATGTCTAAAGCAACTGAACACCTAACCAAGATATAGAAGATTGAGATAGGCGAAAGAAGGTAATATGAACAAGCATGGAGTGTCAGCATCAGCCAATGCAAACTCCTAAAAAAGTGTGGGGATTTGATTGCAAAACCCTTCCCCACTCGACGACTCGATAACAAGAGCAAGCATAACTCTGAAACATCGTGGTGCGTCACGAGCTAAGGATGACACGAATAAAATTGTGGGGGTTGATTGCGAACCCTCCTCGCTCGCCTCTTTTTGAGGACTTTAATGAGGGATGGGGGAATAGATGCGAGCACAAGTATAAACACACGTGCAGAATACCTACTTCAAATGTAGGGTTTTAAACAAACACGAATAGCACACAGAAAGCACACGGTGCAGAATTTCCCTAAATGGGTCTTTAAATAAACCATAGGGACTCCTAACATTATCAGAAACGGAGATCCCCTATATACATCTCAACCCTACTTCTAATGGCATTGGAAAGCAGTAAAACCCTACTTCTCATGATTTCTATAAAAGCGATAAAGTGCAGAAATGAGGAATAAAAGTGAAGCCATGATGATACCTAACGGAGAAGGTTTGTTTCCTCTTCAAGACCATGCAAGCAAAGAGAAAACTCTACAGAAGCTATATCACACAAGTGATCAAACAAATTAGTCTCAAAGAATTCCATATTGCCAAAGTTATATCAACACTCTATCGCAAAATCATAGCTAAAAATTACAACGAAATGATTATCTAACATGAAAATAATAGAAAATTCTAATAAAAATTCTAAAGAGAGGTCCTAAAGAATTCTAAAATGGTCTATTATTTTTTGTATCATTTTCATCATTAAAATCATGGAACAATGAAGCTAAAACTAATAAAAAAATGGAAGGGTAGAAGTATAGTAGAAACAAAGAGGGTGTATTGCTAAGCCCAGGAAGTATTGAAAGGAATTGATGCTAAGCCCATCCGGTTTAGTACATAAGCCCTTTCTGTAACATCCAATTCTGGCTTCCAAAAAACGACACAACAATGGGCTAAGAGGGAGTATGGTTCGATCCAGAATCAGTTTTTTATACTGTTTTCCAAAAATCTCACCAGGCCTTAGTGCATTAAACCCCAACGCGCATAGCCACCGAATCTAACCATTTTTTGTACTTCTTCCATCTCTTCTTTTTCAATAATTAAAACCCTACGACATACACATCCCTTCCTCTTTGTCCAAAATCATAATTTCGTTCAACCAATAATCCCTTCTTCTTCGCTCAACACTGCCAATTCCATGAAATTAACACTGAGTTCCATTGTGAAGAGGCATTAGAGACTCGTATTTGTCTCCATCGATCTCATTTCAATTAAATTTGCATCGCCACTCAAAGCTTTGTATCAGTTCGAGTTCTTCGTCTACAGTCTCATGGTTTCCATCTCCAGATGTGATTCACTTGCGTTATTACTGATGGTGAGGATGATGATTGATGTTTGAAGCTCGACCTCAGTAGCTTCAAGATTATTGATGGAGATCAAAGAATATGCAGTAGAAATAGTTGTGATTGTCGAGAAGTGAAGGGTAAATATGAAGATGTCTGAAGGAGGAAGGTTGAAGGTACATAACGGTTATAGAGTTTGTAGGTGAATAAAGGTGTGAATGAGAGAACACAGTTGAAGATGGTGATGTCGTTGATGGGTACAGAGGAGTTGCAATATTTGATGAGGGCAAGGAGATGATGATGGTTGAAGATGCATAAAGAGGTGGAGATCAATGGCGATTCTTGAATTTTAGTGGTATAGGTGTTGCAGAGAATTGATGCAGGTTGGAGCATGATGGTGAAGGTTTGTACAGAGAATTAATGATGGAGAATATTGTGAAGAGGTGGAGATCTGGTACGATTGATGAAGATTGTTGTGATACCAAGATTGAAGTAAGGAGTAGAGATAATGGAGATTATGTAGATAATTTGTATATCGAATCAGAGAGAGAGATGAATATTTCTGGTGACTCCTCAGAGAGTGTTAAGGTGAGTTTTCTTTGTGATTTTTTATGGATAATTTTATATTGTGAATCATCATGATTCCTCTCCCTCTTTTTCTATTATACGATTTTCTCTCAGAAAAAGTTTGATAGAGATGTTCATTTTGTTAGAAATTGGTTAGAAAACAGTTCTGTTATGGTTACTTAGGAGGTTGGCTTGCGTTTTCGGTTGGTTAATGAAGTTGTAACCAATCTGAAAAAAATTAGTTAGATGTTAGTTATAGAAATTGGTTGGGAAGATGTTAAAAAACTGTAATTCTGTTAAAAACAGTTATAGGATTATGTTATTTCTGTTAAAAGGTTAGGAGGTCATAGGTTAGTTGGACTGTTAGTTAGTTAGTTATGGACTATTACAGGAAGTTTGATTTAGGTTTCCTTTTATTCTCTGCAATACTTTCTACTGATTTTCATTGATAAAAACCTCCCTCCGATATTTTCTGGATGATTAAATTGCAAACTGGTCTGGGTGAACCAAATAATCATGAGCTGATACTGATGCAGGGTCTCTATTCAGATTGATTTCGGCTTGAAGTGCAACTTCAGTTCTGGTTCTTTTGATATAGGGCCGCTTGATTATTGGTAGTTAATTTTTTGAACTCTTTTTTTGTCAATGCAGGTTTTATGGTTAACTGCTTCTGAAAATTGTAGGGTTGGTTGCGGAACATTGGCTCTGAGTTTTGACGAAACTGGTTTTTTGAATGTGTGCAGGCTGAGTTTAAGTTGCAGGGCATGGTAAGGGTTGATTCCCTCCGACTCAACTCTCTTTTTGTTTTCATTTTTCTGCTATGCTGATCTGTGAGACACATTTTTTATAATTCAGATGAGTGTAAGGCTGATTTGAGTCGTGGCTTAATGTTGATGAATATATGTAGTTGCTGAACTCCTGGAAGAAACATGAAGATAGGTGGAGAAAATCTTGGGCATAACATAGAATATTAACAAGATGAAGTCATGATAGAACTTATGATGAAACTTAAGTCCAAACCAATTTTTGTGTAATTTTCTTGATCATGTAATGTAATTGAAAGGGGGTGTAATTTGGTATTTCATTTAGTAAATAGGAATGCTCCCTTGAATCAAGTGTTAAATGATCTTAGAGCTTCTTGAATTTAAATGAAGTATTCTCTCGAATATTCAAAGTTCTTCTTTCTTTCAAATTGTATTTTGACATTCCATTTTCTTTTCCTTCAATATTTCCTTTAAATGCCTTCATATGGATTCAAATACTCATGATATGAATCCAAAATATTTTCAAGGTTATCAAAAAATACGTGAATCTTGAATGAATCCTTGAGAGGCTATTTGGATGATATTTTGATAGTTGGATGAATTTGACGCATGCCTTTTCATACTTGTGATTTGAATTCCAAGAAAAGCCACACAAATATTTAAGAGCTTTGATTTGCTTCAAATCCACTTCAAATATTAATGAACAAATTCAAATCAAACTACAACTTTAATGAACCCGTAATTCAATTCAGTTCCCCGATCTAAACCAAATTTGTGTGTCAAGCAATAAGAAATTTGAAAGAATGACGCCTTGATTACAATCCACATCTTGTACCATGTCCCGACTATATGAGAACTATGTGATACGGTGGAAGAAATGACTGTTTTTGGAAATGCTGGTTTGCGTTTTGCGTTTATTTTCGCAAAATGTCGCGGTAAGCAAGAGTCGCCACCGACTTTTATTTTATCCAAAAAGGAAAGGAAAAAAGCACAGAAAAATTCCTTTTTTCGAGATATTTTTGAGTACGGGGGGTAGATTATAGAAAGGGAAGGTTTTAGCACCCTTTCTATCCGTAGTTATCTACGGGCTCTTAGGTACTTGCTTATTGTTTTCAAAATTGTTTTCTTTGTGTTTGTGGGTTTTGAAATGTTTTTGTTTTAACTTCGATTTAACTCTTGCGTCTGTCTTCAAGAGTGTAATGAAGTGTTTTTTTGAAAACTTGTTCATAAAAGAGTGTAAGTGTGAAAAAAGTTTTGTTTTGAAAGAGCAAGTACTTAAGAACTAATCTACCTACTCGAAAAAGGAATATTTCTATGTTTGTTTCCTTTAGACAATGTTATCCTACTATTAGTGAGTAGGTAGCACCGTCGTTGGAGTTTGAGGGTCAATTCGAAAGGGACATACGGTCACTAAAGCAATGTTAGATTGTCTTAGTGGTAACCTTAATGACTTAGATCATTTATCCGAGGCAACGATATCTGAGGCAACCATTTCGAGGCAACTATGATCTTTTAGACAAGAGGGCGACCTCTAAAACAACCTATACTCAATGACCGTTTACGAAGGCAACCAAGTGGGAGTGTACCATAGGAGTGCGCATGTGCGGGTGTGTTGATTTCAGATTTGTTTATCTTTGCACATGTTTAGGGTGATCTAATTGTTTTAAATTTAGTCATACATTCTTGTCATGCAAACCCTATGATCAAACATCTAACAGTTGAATATTTGCAGAAATTAAAGTGCGGAATTTAAACTACGCTATTACAAGGCGTCGGGTATTTACATCGCCAAAAACAAACCCTTCGAAATTAAAAGCTGTAAAAATAAATAAATGTCCTAATTTAAATTATTACAAACCAGGAGCAGATACAATAATTTGGATAAAGAAAAATAAAGCGCGCGAGAAAATTAGATCGAATACGAGAACTAGGGTTTTGACCCTCCTAATTAAAAGAAAGTTTTTTTGTTGTTTTTATTTTTTAAGAAAAAGAAATTAAATCCTAAAATTAAATGCTAAATTAATTAGTTATTAAATTAATTAATGAAAAATAATTAAGACCTATTTTTGTTGTTTTTTGTTATTTTAGGAAAGCAATAAGATAATTAAATTAGGGTTAAAACCTATTGATTCTAATTAATTTTAAATATTTACAAAATTAATTAAAGTTATCTAATATAAATAACCTAATTATTTTAATTAATACTTATTGATGAAAAATAAAATTCTAAATTTTAATTGGATAGAAAAATGTTTTTCTGATTTTTTTTGATAAAAAGAAAATTTTTTTTGGTTAAGTAATTAAATAAATAAATAATTAAAGGAAATAAACTAAATATAAAAAAAAGAGAGAGATGGGCCTGAAATTGGGGGTGTAGAAAGCATATTTCCTAGGCCCATTGAGATGGCTCGTTTTGACTTTTTGGATCCAGTATGCAGGCGTTTGACTGGGTCTTTGGTGCACCCTCAGTGGTAGCCACCAGATCTGGCCATCTGGCCATCTAGCGTGTTGATGAGGAAGGTCCATGGTGGGTGCCTGGCTTATGCATGCATTGGATTACCTGAAATAACAAGGAAAAATAACAAATGTTGGAGGCACGGATCGAACCCCTGACCTCTAGCCTCTAATGCCTTGAAAACCTGCGTGGCCACCACTGGGGCATTTGGTTCTTATTGTTAACATATTACAAAATAATAATAATATAAAAAAACAAATGCTAGTGGACAATTCAGAAAAACGCGCGCCAATATTTGAACGGGCCAGTAGGGGAGTGACACGCCTGCTTCTTCTTCCCTGCACCATGGCTAAAAATTCAAGGACCTATACCCACAGACAGTGTCCGTCGCTACAAGTCATGCTCGTTCCAAAATTTTCTACAGGGCATATAAATGGAATCTAACACCATGGTTAGACTCGTCTCATTCTCCTCATCACAACCATACCCATCATGAAGGCTAATTGTCCCTGAAACTGAAAGCCCTAAAACCAAGCTTGAAAACCTAACAATAGTGAGTTACAGCACATGCCATATAAATGAAATTGGCTAATGCCAAAAGCTTGCAAACATCATGGTGATCAAGATTATGCCATTATTTTACACTATGGATGCAAGAATAAAGCTTTTCGAATTCAAGAAAAGGATGATACCGTTACGGACTTACAGTGCGTGGGAGGGCTTGAAAACGCTTGGTTTTGATTGCTTTAGGTTCCTGAGATTGCCAGGAAGCGATTGGGAGAGATATCAAGCCTTGAGGACGCCTCTAACCACCAATTCAATCTCACACTTTTTGCTTATTTTTGCAAATTTTGTTCTAGCTCTAGCGCCTCTTTCCAACCTTCTTTTTGATCTGCACGCCCTCCTTATGTATTGGTGAAGGGATTAGGGTTGCAAATTGCATCCAAATCTTCTTCTTTCAATGCTTTGGAAATTGATTTGATTTGCTTTGAATATCTTTCCAAATATGGCTTATTTTGAATCTTTTTGTTCACTCAAGCCTTAATGCGAATTTGGAATGATGCTAGTTGTTCAATGAAGCCTGAAACAATACAAAATCCTTGGTTATCAATGTTTTGGATTTTTATTTGATTTATTTTGATTTAAATAAAATTAATTCAAATAAAAATCAAAATCATTAATAAAAATATGATATGGACAAGTGGAAAAGGCTAGAGAACTTGGGCTATGATGCCAACTCAAAACAAGTGAAAAAGAATGAGCCCATTTGGCAAATTTTGAAGTTTTGGGGATAGTTGACTTTTGGCAATTTTGCAAAAAAGGTCAACTTCAACAATGCATAACTTCCTTAATTTTGACTCTTTGGATGTGTTCTTAGACTTTTTAGAAGTCTTGAGATGTCCTCTAATCAACCCTTTTGGTCTCATCTCATTTTGATATTCCATGCTCATGTATGAAGCTTTGACAAAAAAGGTGTTTTTGTTGACTTTTCAAAATGACCTATAATGTCCAAATTCATAACTTCTTGTGAGTGCATATTTTGAACTTGGGAGCTGAATATGGATTGTAGGGAATTGCATCCTATTCAAAATGAGCTTTGGATGGGTCATTTCTCATAAAGTATGAGAAAGTTATGCTTGGTCAAAGTTGAGTTGACTTTTCCTACAAAACCCTAATTTAGTAACTTTTGAGTCTTGATGAATTGTGAGCAATCCTTGATGAATCATGATCAACCCTTGATCAAATGATGAAATATCCTTAAAAATGAAGATGTTGACCAAAAATATTGAAGTTTGACTGTATCTAGGTCACAATTAACTTTTGCCCTAGCATAGTCGATTTTTGGACTTTTGTGCAATTGACTGAGCAAACTTTCTCTGCAAGGCTTGAAACTTGACATGGATGATCTTGAGAACATATTAGGACATTGGTGAGAACTTGGGATCACTTGGACTCAAGGATCTTGATGCAACATGAAACCCTAGTTTGGGGTAGACTGCCTTAGGAGAGAGCTTGTCTGGCCAACCCTTGGACTACATTGAGCAACTTGAGGATTTTTTCTTGAAATGTTTTGAGAAATATGGGAGGGAAAATTTAGGGGTACAACAGCTGCCCCTGTTCAATCTTCTTAAACTTGAGGATGTAGATTGGCTTTCTTGCCTTTCGTAATTCGAAGGTGGAAGTTGATTGAACACTAGAGTGCCCAAAAATTTGCACTCGCGTGAAATGGTAATTGCCTTGTGATGCCAGGAATGGGCTTACAGATGCCATTTTGGGATTGCTGACGGGAGATGGGCTTAAAGATGCCATCAGGGATCGCTGACGAGAGATGGACTTAAAGATGCCATCCGAAGGAGTGTCAATCGCATAAGAGATTCCTTAGCGAGAGCTTGGATACCTGTTGTTGTGGAAGATTCCGTTGGGGAAGTCCGATATTTGTTGAGAGAAGTAGAAATTTAGGAGCTTTTTCGTCCATTATTCTGATGATGGGTCATCTCTGCTGATATTTAGGAACTTCGATCGTCCGTACTCAACTGAGGAATTGTCTCTTA